CCATACTGTTCTCCATAGTGGCTGTATCAGTTTACATTCCCACCAGCAGTGCAAGAGGGTTCCCTTTTCTCCACACCCTCTCCAGCATTTATTGTTTGTAAAAAGAAATGTTTTGAAAAGATATGAGATAATTGGAAAATTTTGAATTCTGACTGGATTTAATAATATTAAGGAACTGTTAACCTTTTAAGTGTGGTAATGGTATTGTGCTTTCTTTCTAAGAGCCCTTATGTTTTAGAGACATACTGAAATATGCACAGATGAAATATATTTGGATTTGTTTCAAAATTATCCAGGGATAGGGGAGAGCAGGTGTGGTAGAGATGAAGGTGGATAGGCTGTGGATTGTTAGTTGTTGAAGCTCGGGGATATGGGGTTCATTTTGCTCCTCCCTCTACGGTTGCACGCATTTGACATTTTCCCTGAAAGAAATTCCAGTCCTCGGGTAATGCAAGTCTTGTACTCTGGGCCTCAATAATGCCCAGCTGGAAAGCATGAGAGGCATTTTGAGCCGTGCCACGTTCATCTCTTGTTACAATTCAAAACAGAAATTTGGTCCACTTCTGTTTCACCTCAAACAGAAAAATTCATGAACTGGAAAGAAATAATGCCTTGATTTTAGTTGGAAAAACAAACTGGGAGATACACATGATCTCCTTTGTTATGATCACGCGAGGAATCTAATCCCCGGAAGAAGCAAAGTCACAGCCCGAGAGAAAAGTCACATTTTGACGGTAGCTGGAAATAAATGCTTCTTTTGGAAGAGTCAGTCCCAGGAGAGGTTTTCTGGCAGCAGAGTGCTTGGCGTGAGTGTGAAAGCTGAGAACAAGTTGAAAAATTACAGCCTGGGCAGTAGCTGCCAGCGAAAGAAAGTGCAGTGTTAGATCAGCAATGACGTTGCTCACACAGAGGCTGCAGGGCAGAAGGGAGCCTGCTGCCTACGTGCCTGATACTGGGTGTCCTGGTGCCCAGCCACATGGCACCTCTCTCTCTCACTCACAAGCCACAGAGATCAGAGGCTGCTCTGACAACGTCTCTAGCCATGTAAGAAGGGGACACAGCCATCACACGCTGGCGGAGAGTCCCGTGAACTGCAGTGAAACCCCATACTCAGCAGATCGTCTCCCAGGCTACCAGCCAGCAAGCGGATTTCTTTTTCAATGAGTGGCCCCAAACAGAACAAAACCTCACGCAGGTACACTAGAAAGCTAGGAGGGTAACTTTTGAACCTGAGCAAGTAACATCATTTTTCTTTACTTTTTATAGGAAAAAGAAAATTATGTGGGGGAATAGAGAGAAACTAGGGGGTTTAATATAGGTGCATGCTTCCCTGGAGAGGAACAAGCAGAAAATTAGTAAGAGAATCCAGCTCAGTAAACATGTGAGGGCCTGCTCTATGCCAGGCATTGTGGACAAGGCAGGGGTGAATGAGACATGGTCCTTGCCTTCAAGGAGGTCATGGGAGAAGGAGGATACGAGCGTGCACGAAATCTCCTGGATAAATAATGAAATAGAAGGCATGGAGGTCCTGTGACCCAGGCAAGGTAACTCTGTTACTAAGCCAAAGTCTGTCTTTGGGCAAATCACTTCATCTCAATTTTTCGTCTACAGAATGGGGCAATTCTTGCCTTGTTGACCCCATGGAGTTGTAGAGGTGTAAGGACCAAAACTACTAACATCACCATCATCACCATCACCGTCATGAGGAGGAGGAGGGATAGAAGAGGCTTCCTAGATCCCGCTGCCCAAAGGGCCTGTGATGGGCACTCAGGACGAGTGCTTCCAGTGGTCAGCAGCCCAAACCGGCAGCACTGCCCACTCTCCCGCCAGGCTCAGGAGCAGCAGCACCCTGTGCCCTCGTTCCCACAGCTGGTTCCCACTGGGCACCTCGTCACATGCCCAGGAACTGCCTTTGGATGAGCAATTCTCTCCAACCCGTTCCAACCGGCCTGATACAGAGGTAAAGGTGCTTAGTCCTAGTAATCTTAAGAAGTCTCAGAGCTTGAGAGTCAGAAGGGACCTTCCAGAACATAGTGTCCACCCCTCCCATTTGTACAAAGGGCAAAGGAGACGAAGGCAGGGAAGGTGACTGGCTTGAGGTCACTCATGGAGGTGGAGGGCGGGGGACGGCTGGTGCTGGAATCTGGTTCTCTGGAGTCTCCGGGTCCAATACAGCTGCTTCTCTTTCCTAGGAAGGTTTTGCCACCACTGACTCTGTTGCCTTTTTTTTTTTTTTTAATTTTATTTATGTATTTATTTTTGCTGTGTTGGGTCTACGTTTCTGTGCGAGGGCTTCCTCTAGTCGCGGTGAGTGGGGGCCACTCTTCATCGCGGTGCGCAGGCCTCTCACTGTTGCGGCCTCTCTTGTTGCGGAGCACAGGCTCCAGACGCGCAGGCTCAATAGTTGTGGCTCACGGGCCCAGCTGCTCTGCGGCATGTGGGATCCTCCCGGACCGGGACTCGAACCCGTGTCCCCTGCGCCGGCAGGCAGACTCTCAACCACTGCGCCACCAGGGAAGCCCTCTGTTGCCTTTTATATCCTTAGTCTTTTCTGCTCCCAAATACCTAATTTGGCCAACTTCCACGAAAGTATTTAGGGCAAAAGGAAAATTCCTCCTCATAACCTTTCCCCGAGCTCTCTGTTCTTTGGGGGTCTTTCATTCTTTGGGGAAGATGTTTACTCAGTGCCTGTTATGCATGTGATCCTAAGCACAACATGGGTTCACAGAGATGAAATGGGATGGCCCAGTCCCTCCTTCATGAAACCTTCAGGGGAGCTCTGGCTCTGGGAAAAGAAAGTCCTTCTTACTCAGTTCCCTTTAGCTATGTGTTCAAGGGGAGATCTCTTTGCCATGCCTCTTCACGTCCTGAGTTTTTCCATTCATGCCTGTCTGGCACCTTCTGCCACCCTGGCTGTGGGCCCAGATGCTGTTGTGAGCAGAGAAAAGGCTGGCAGCCTCACTCTGGAAGGGCTGCCACCTAGGAGCTGCGCTGCTTCCTGACCCTCAGGGCTGGCATGATACCTCTTGACTGCTTCATCTCTGAACCCTGTGGTCTCTAAGGGATTCGGTTTTGCCCCCAGCTGAGTAACTGCCCTAATCCAGTCTGCCCCCTGGAGTGACTGCCTTGGTGTCCTCCATCCTGCCTCTCCGCCAGTCGCCATCTTGGTGTAGTTTAGTTGCCTTGAGTCCAGGGCTTTGAGGCCGTGGAAAGAAAAACAATACAGTTCAGTGGAAACTCTGACATGTGAGAGTTGGGAAAACTGGTGTCCAGTGAGAGGCTGGGCTGGAGAGTCTGAAATCCCTTCCAGCTCCAACATTTCTGAAAAGGTATACCCGAAGGCTGACAGCCTGAAATATTAGAGGGTTCTCTTGTGTGTGTCCAGACCTAGGACCAACTCGCCATAGCATTTCAAATGAATGTGGGCACCAAGTTTTGCTTCTGACTCTCCCTACTCTCAGGTGAGGTCCCCTAGTTAGAGAACAAGGTGTAGGGGGGTGGGGATTCTGTGAGGCCGGTGTACACACACGCGCTCCCGTGAAATGGTGCCGTGGTCTATGGCAAGGGTGCCCAGAAGACGTGGTATTCCTTCCCCTTCTGCTCTAGGTGACACCTTTCCGTGTGCTGAAATACTGATGAATGAACTCCAGGTGGCAAACCTTGGTTCCCAACTCCTAGAGAGCCCACAGGGCACCATGGTTCTACTCTAACGAGCCGTGGCCTGCCAATTATTTGCTTTTCTGGAGAAACCTCAGCTTGAAAATCCACTTAATTACCATGCGAGATGATCTTTTAAACATAGCCTTACATCCCTGAAAGACTTTTCCCTGTGCGAGTAAGAAAGTGAACATGGGATTGGATTGTTTATTTTCATTTCCAGGGGAAGGACTATTACCTGGTAGTTAGCAAGAAGCCTGAGCCCTGGAGGGTTTATTTGATAAGTCTGCTCCTCCTCACTGCTAGTTTGTCAATTATATTGTAATAATTAGTTTGTAATATTGTCATACTTTTCCCCAGTGTAAACACTGCATTTAGCTCCATGATTCCGGGCTTAAAATTACTTGATATTTTCCAAGCTTCCCTATCAGGTTGGGGGTTTTTACTTGCTCTAGATGTGGGTATTCAGAGTCAAGGTCCTCAAGGGTTTCCTATCAGGAAGATCATACCTGTAAATCACCAACCTCAAAGACCTACCTGGAGTTGGAGACAGACTCCAATTTTTCCAACGTGGGACACCCCAGTGGATTAAATAAATTCTTCCCCACTAGGAGAGGGAAGGGTGGAGGGGCAATATAGGGGTAGTGGAGTAAGAGGTACAAACTATTAGGTCTAAAATAAGCTACAAGGATATATTGTACAACATGGGGAATACATTCCATATTTTAAAATAACTCTATGTGGAGTATAACCTTTAGAAATTGTGAATCACTGTATTGTACACCTGTAACATATAATATTGTACAGCAACTATACTTCAATTTTTAAAAAGTACCAAAGGAAAGAGAGCCATAGGTTTTAAACTGAACTTGAACAACAACAACAACAAATGTCCTTAGCTTCTAAAAACACACAAAAATTATAAAATTAAAAAAAAATCTTCCCCACTAGAATGTAAGCTTGGGCAGCCCCAAGACCCAGAGCAATTCCTGCTCATAGGAGGCGTTCAATGCACAGATGCTAAGTTGCTGAGAGTCACAAGGTCTTCACGTGGAATGGATGTGCATCAGGTCGAAATATGAACAACGGACAGAATAATGCAGAGTCCCTGCCACGGGGCTGCTCTGGTCCCTCTTTCCCCACATCACTTCAAAAGCAAATGGTCTGGATGCATTTGCATGACCTGGTTCTGTAGGCTGGGGTCTCTGGGCCTTAAGAGTATACCTCTAGGGATTAAGAAAAGAATAGAAAAGGAGTAATTGTATTGCACACAGAATTAGAAGGTGAGGAAAAATCTTTAGTGGAAAACGGATTAAGTCATGGACCTGAATCTCTCCTTCCAGGTCCCGACGGGGAGGAGAGCTGGTCCAAGAGCTACCCATCATGTGGGGGCCTGATGCAGTCCCCAATAGACCTGCAGGATGACATCCTCCAGTACAACGCCAGCCTTGTGCCCCTTGACTTCCAAGGCTACAGTGAGTCTGCCAACCAGCAATTTGTCCTGACCAACAATGGCCATTCAGGTGAGGGAGCGACCTCCAAGACCTGAAGGGGTGTCTGAGCTTTCCTCAGCTCCCTGGACTCTTCTGTCTGCCGGGGCAGGGGGTAGGGTGGGTTCTACTGAGGCACCCAGGAAGGAGGGCAAAGGGGAGCCTTGAGGGATGCTTGGACCACTCTCTCCAGGGGACGCTGCAGGTCCTGGGCTCTGCTGGTTCTGCCGGGGTGGTACCTCTCAGAAGCGGCACATCTCTTGGGATGGGAGAGGGGACAGGCCTGAGCCTCTTGGCCTATTGGATATGGTGCGGGAGTGAATTCTGGGGCACCATGAACAACTCAAGGGGCCACGCAGTTTACTGGGGGGCTTGCCCAGTCTTTGGAGTCAGACCAACCCGAATTTGAATCATGGCTTGACTACTTATGAGTCATGAGACTCTGGATAAGAATTTTAAACTCCTTGAGGTTTCATCTGGAAAATGGGCATATTGATGGGTACTGTAAAGACTAGAGATTATGTACGTTAATATCCAGAATAGAGAGGTGCTTAATAAAGAGCGATTATTATTGTTGTTGTTGTTATATAATTCTACAGCTTGGCAGATACTTCATGACAGGTTCTATCTTCATAGCCAAGTGTGTAATACATGGATATATAAACAAACGTTCATCCATTGGTCTAAATTAGTTCCTGCCATCATTTTCCAAGGGGAACCAAGAAGGTGCTTGTGCCACTGGAATAGCTTTAGTGAAAGGGGGACATTCTCAGAGAAAGAGGCCAGGTTTCTGACCGGTCCCCACCTTGCTGTATCCACTCGCCCCTGTCTAGGCCCCGGGCAGGTGATGTCTACCTGCTCTCAGGCAGTACTCAGCTGGCCAGGGCTCTGAAGACTGCCCCTCCTCTCCCTGCAGTGAAGCTGAAACTGCCCAAGGACATGCACATCCAGGGCCTTGGGGCCCGCTACAATGCCTCGCAGCTGCACCTGCACTGGGGGGACGAGAATGAACCTCACGGCTCGGAGCACACTGTGGGTGGGAAGCAATTTGCTGCCGAGGTGAGTGGGGCGGCCCGGCTGGCAGAGGATTCCCGGCGGTGGGTGGTCTGGCACCCTTCCACTTGGCTGGTGTGCAGACGAGATCAGAGCACGGGGGGTGAGGTGGAGGGGGCCGTCTCGCTCTACACACCCACCCCAGCCCTGCTGGCAGCACCGGAAGGTACGGCCACTCCGGCCACGCTGCAGCTCATCCCCGGTGTCCCACTTCCCTTCCTCTCCTGAACTTGCGGAGTTTGTTTCCATGTCTTTTACTGAGTGATGCTGCTCAGAAAGCAGTGAGTGCTCCCGGGGGGCACAGTGGGACACACATACCCCTTTTCTAGACATCGCCCTTCTGTCTGCACAGATTAAGATCCCACCAGCTTGTGTGGCTGACCATCCCACTGCCAAATCATACAAGGCTAAGTGCTCCCTCAACTTTTCGGTTTTCTTCATATGCCATGCTGCTTGCATAAGTTTTTCCCATCCCATCTTTCCTTTCGGGCATGGGTTGTGCTTGGAGCTTGGGGACCAGGGTCCAGGGTCACTCTTCTATTTGGCCACAAATCAAGGGATGACTGGCATTATAACGCGTAGGGCATTGTGGCCATCAGAGACTCACTGAGGATAGCCTGGGACATCATCACAGTGTTGCGTTACGTTGCTCTGAGGTGGTACCCCAAATGCCAAAGAAAACGGGAAGAGGAGCAGAGCTTCGTTCCTGCACTACAAGTGTTCAGCGGAGGCTGGGGGACTGAGCTGCTCCTTTTCGGCGTTCCCGTGGGATTGCACTTGGGGGTGTGGTTCTGAATGTTTAAAGGGCAATAAATACAAAGGGATAAATGCTACTGATCAGCTAACGGAGCCCATGGTAAACAATGACACGACCATTCCCCTCTGTTCTTAAAGGCCGAACTGCTTAATGTCTTAGGCTAATTAGAGGTCGAGTTACAAGAGGTGGAGGAGCTATAATTCTGGCCCAGTAGGATGGCCCTACTGGAGGTACACATATTCCAGACCAGGCCCCTCTCTGAACCTCCAGGACAGCCATTTCTTTCAGCCTAACTGCAATAAGGAGGCTTCTATTTTCCCATGGGGGGTAAAGGAGTTAGGGTGTAGGCTGAGAGGGTTTGGGCATTTAAAAATAGTTATTGAATTTTCTGCTATTAAGCCACATCATCAGACCAAGAACCTGGTGAAGATGGACCATAAATGTCAATAACAGAGAAAAAACATCAAGGTGACCCTAAAGTGGCAGATTCTCTATGGAGGGTCCTTGAAAGTGTAGCAGTTCTTCTGGCTTGAGTCTATATAAGAAGACTCTCTTAATCCTCTCAGCAGGGAATTCCCTTCTGTTTGTATTAGTCTTCACCTCCTCTTGATTTCATCTGAACAAGTGAGAAAAGTGCTAAAACAGAACACAAGCTCAAAGGTCAGCTGTAAAAAGAAATAAGGATCAGGACTTCCCTGGTGGTACAGTGGTTAAGAATCTCCCTGCTAATGCAGGGGACACGCGTTCTATCCCTGGTCTGGGATGATCCCATATGCTGTGGAGCAGCTAAGCCCGTGAGCCACAACTGCTGAGCCCATGTGCCACAACTACTGAAGCCCACACGCCTAGAGCCTGTGTTCCGCAACAAGAGAAGCCACCGCAATGAGAAGCCTGCACACCTCAACGAAGAGTAGCTCCTGCTCGCTGCAACTAGAGAAAGCCTGTGCGCAGCAATGAAGACCCAACGCAGCCAAAAATAGACAATAAATAAATAAATAAAAAGAAATAAGGATCTAGGACCTTCAGGGTTTTAGCCACATAGAGTTCTGCACTGTTTCCCAAAGCAATGCCAGGCCAAGATGGTGTGGAGGCTACATCCTTTGGGGGGGAAAGATGGTAAAGTAGGAGCCCCTAAGAAATCCTTAATAGAGGACCATTAAAAAGAAGAAATAACTTGATATAACTTTTTTTTAATTAGAAAGGGCCACTTGAAAAGTGGGGAACATTGAGCTGTATTCATTAAAATATGCTTGAATTCTATTTATAATCACATAAGATGGGAAAAGAGATTAACGAAGAAAAAGGAAAAGAGAGGTAAAATCTCAGTGTGTCAGAGTCTCAAGAGGCAAAGAATCAACTAAAATACATGTGATCATATATAATATAGTTTTTTGGAGGACAGGTGATACTACCTTTAGGATTAAAAATCAGGTTAAACAAAGTAGGAGGATGACACTCCTGCACGTCTAAGGGGCTTTATCAGAATGAAGTCATGTCTATAAGCTCTTAATGTCCAGAAGGAGAATGTAGAATAGACATAATATATTTAAACTACCCAAAAATTAAAGGAATTTTTCTGTGAAGAATGATAAAGATTTCCAACAACATGCTTTATTGTTTAAAGCTTTAATACCTGAAGAAAATATAACATTGATCATAGAAAAATCAATCCAAGGCATGACATAAGGGAGTTTGTGATACAAATATTACCTTAACTATGAGGTATTCAAAGGTGATGGGAAAAACCAGATATGTTCTTAGGCGCCTTGAGTGAGTAAGTGTGAGAAGGAGTTATTTAGAAGTAAGTGAAGATGTGAAGATGCCCAGATAGGGGTTCAACCAAGGAAAGTGTGTTAGGTATCTATTGCTACATAACAAATTACCCTAAAAATTAGCAGTTTAAGACAACAAACATTTATTATCTTGCAGTTTCTGTGGGTAAAAAACTTGGGAGCAACTTAGGGGACTGGCTCTGGTTCAGAGTCTCTCATGAGACTGCAGTCATGGTATTGGCTGGGCTACAGTTATCTGAAAGCTTGACTGGGGCTGAAGGATCTGCTTCCAAAATGGCTCATATGGTGGACAAGTTGATGCTGGCTATTGGCAGGAGGCTTCAGTCCCTTGCTACGTGAACCTGTTCATAGAGTTGCTTGGGTGTCCTTATGACATGACAGCTGGCTTTCTCTACCGTGAGTGATCCAAGTGTGAGCAAGGCGAAAGCCACAATGCCTTTTATGATGTGGTCTCAGAAGTCATATATTATCACTTCCACCTTACATGATTTATTAGAAGCAAGACATTTAGTCAATGCCACACCTGAGGGGAGAGGAATTAGGCTCTACTTTCTGAAGAACGAGTCAAATAATTTGTGGATATATTTTAACACATCACATAAGGCAAGAGAGAACAGACAAAGAGCAGAGCAGGCTTGCTGGTAGACCTAAGACAAACTTCATTTCCTGTATAAAGCTGATGACAAGCAATACAAACTATTCCCCTTTTGCCAACTGCCAAGAGGTCCAGCTATAACCCTTTAGAACGGGCTAGAGCAGCCTCTGGCAGGAAACGAGGGATTATCTGAGATTTTTAGGAACACTTTCACTCTACAAATATCTATCCACCTGTTTTCTGAAGGCTGGAATTGTTTTAATATTGAGGCAAAAGCCACATCTGGAGAGAAGAGACAACAAAGAAAATGACAATTGAAACAAACACCAATGCAGCTGAAAATGGAAATATTTACTAACCAATTGGTGGGGAGTCTCAGATCACAGACTTAACCTTGTCATGTAGGGGGAGGATGACAGATTCCAAGAGAATCAGGAGAAAGGACTGTGAAATAAAATGGAGTCACTTACGTCAAGGGGTTTTAAAATGGAGCTAGGAGGCCATTAAGGAGGTGAACCTTATGCACGTCCTCACCAGCGGGAACCATGAACTTCTGAACTGGGCCAAACCACCAATACTCCATGGACTCTGCGAGAGCACCTGCAACTTGTCACATTAACGAACTTTTCCCTCCCTCTAGTAACAGCCTTAGTATTCAACCATGTTTAGCCAAGACTAGCTTCTGCCTCCAACTTGAAAATTACAAAATTCTTTGTAATGCAAACCTCCCTTCTTTGCCTTTAAAAGCCCCTTTTACTCCCTAGCAGGACACTGTTTGGGAAGCTACCCAAATCTGTGTGCCCCAAATCGCATTCTTTGATCCAAATAAACATTTTTTTTGCTTAAGAAAAAAAAAAATCAGGTTAAACATTGTCAGAGCTTGTCATAATAATGTCTTAATGCTTACCTAGTCTGTTTCTTTTTAATTTTTTAAGACTTTTTTTTTTTAAGAGCATTTTAGGTTCACAGCAAAATGCAGAGGAAGATACAGAGATTTCTCATATACTCTTTGCCCTCACACGTGCATAGCCTCCCTCATTATCAACATCACTCATCAGAGTTTACCTAGACTTTTTTTTTTTGCGCTATGCGGGCCTCTCACTGTTGTGGCCTCTCCTGTTGCGAAGCACAGGCTCCGGATGCGCAGGCTCAGCGGCCATGGCTCACGGGCCCAGCCGCTCCATGGCATGTGGGATCTTCCCGGACTGGGGCACGAACCCGTGTCCCCTGCATCGGCAGGCGGACTCTCAACCACTGCGCCACCAGGGAAGCCCTACCTAGACCTTTTAAACCCAACATTTCTCAAAAACTTCTCTTTTCCTCACTTTAATAATGATAAGCAATTTCTGCTTTGAAAAAAAATGAGTTTAGAATGGTATTTTGGGGTCTACATTCATGGAGTAGCATTTTTGTTTCATGGTCTCTTAAAATATAGTTGATAAAACCTGTATAAAAGTCATGTTGTGATTGTCTCCACCTGAGAGATAAATGCATGTCCTGCTCTGGGTACAAGTATGATTAAGTTACAGTTGGAGGTTTACTGCCCCGGCCCCCAGATCAAATGCAGAGTGGCCGGGCTTAGGCTGGGCAAGCCACATGGGACCATTTTGCCCCAGGCTCCAGAATAAGTAGGAAAAATCAGAAGGGAGAAGTGCTCCAAAGTATCCAAGCTTTTTCACAGCTAGTATAAAAGCCAATTTGTTCATTCATTCATTCAAAATCTATTGTGTACCTGGTACTTTTCAAGCACCGTATCAGACACTGGGATACCATGAGTGAATAAGATGGACAGACTGGCCTGGTGGAGTTTGCAGTCTAGAGGACTGAGAGAAAAGGGAACACTGGGGTGGCCATGAGGCAAGGGTCTGGGAGGCCGAATCTAGCTGGGGATGGGGGTGGTCTGTCCCTCCCATTGGATTCCAGTCTCCTGCAAAACTGAAAGCTTCCCATGGGACCCTATCCCCTGATAGATAGCAACTCATCTCCCCTCTCCCACTGCAGCTGCATATGGTCTATTATAACTCGGACCTGTACCCCAATGCCAGCATCGCCAGTGACAAGCCAGAAGGCCTCGCGGTCCTAGCTGTTCTCATAGAGGTAAGAGATGTTGAGACGTATTTTACATGAAATTTGATGTCAGGATGACATCAGACTTGGCATTTGGTTCCATGCACACCTGTCTGTTCCGTTTCGGCTGTGTCTTGACTCTAGAGCAGGGGCTATTTCCCCACAGGGTTCCTGCTCTCTTGGCCTGGAGGCAGCCCTTTCTGTGGCTGGACAGCAGGAATGGGCATGTCCTAGGTGACACTGGAAAGATGAGTCCTAGTCTCCAGCCCTATTGCATAATCAAGGAATTGCCAAGTTGGACAGGGCCTGTCGGGGGTGGGGAATCATTCACTGCTGCCCCATCACATGCCTGATACAATTTCCAGCATCCAAGCTCCATCCTTTATAGGAACCCCAGCATAAGTTCTTTCCTTAATCCCAGAACATGGGAACATCTCCTGATTTGCTTGCATTTTCCCCCCTAAGGAGACAGCACGTATGTCGTTTCTCAACATACTTACTTGCCTGACTTGGCTTGCATGAACTCAAGCTCCCTTCAGTTCTGGTTAGAGAACATGCTATTTGTGGCCGTTAAGCTCGCAGCCAGATAATCAGGAGCACAAGCTCTACCTGTTGCTCTGGGACACCCCAGCCCCAGTGCCTTGAGCTGGAAATAGGATGTCCTGAGATGCAAGAGGGCAGGACCATTCCGCCAACCCCCTAACAGCCTAGTGATGCATCATGACTGTCCTAGTAAAGTGCATCCTTTGGGGAGGATCTCAGCAGTGGTGATTACACACCCTCAGCAGAGCCCTTCCATTACAATTGTCAAGCCAAGCTCAGCCTATTGAATTCTGTCCCTGTTCAACCTGCCCCATCTCTATTGCAGATGGGCTCCTTCAATCCATCATATGACAAGATCTTCAGTCACCTTAAAGATGTAAAGTACAAAGGTGAGAGGTCCTTGGATGCGTATTCACCCTCTGTTGGAGAAGAGTGTATTCACCCTTGTGTGATCTGAAGAAGAACCCATGCAGGGGGCCAGGTACTGTCTGTGACCAAGTCCTAGGATCAGGTGGCTCAGAATGGGGCTAGTTCACCTTCCTAGTCTCTCATATGCTCAGCTGCACCTCTGCCTTGGGGAGCAAGTTGACATCATCCCCCAACATGTCTCTCCAGGCCAAGAAGTGTCCATTCCGGGTTTCAGCATCGAAGAGCTGCTGCCGAAGAGGCCTGAGGAGTACTACCGCTACCGAGGGTCCCTGACCACACCTCCCTGCTACCCGACCGTGCTCTGGACGGTTTTCCGGAACCCTGTGGAAATTTCCCAGCAGCAGGTAACTGTCGTGCTCTTTCTTGTCAGAGAGCACGTAGTACCTCGGACCCTACCACCACCCATATCATAATCAACGACTTAATTTCCTCACTTAGAGTTTCACTGGCAGCTATTCAAAACCTCTCCAAATATCACAGGGGCTTGGAAGCACTTCAGAAATTACAGGCTGAGCTTCAAAAGTGGAGCTATCAAGTCAAGTGGGGAAAATGAATCTGTCTCCACAGTTCTTTAAATAAGAGCTGTTAAGCTGCGTTTCCTAATATATCCTTCAGTGGATAGTGTCTACCTCCCAGGCAGGAAAGAGCATGGCTACTTTACAGGGGCAGAATAAAGACAGGATCAGGTTAGACTGTTTAACAAAGCCGAGGGGATGGGGATTACAGCAATGAGGATCTCTGCCCTCAAGAAGTTCACAGTCTAGTGTAAAACTGGGGGACGGAGTCCTTGGGAATCATCTCTAACCCTCTCATTTCTTAGGTGATGAAAGCAAGGGTTAGAGAGTTGAGGAAACTTGGGGATCACCAGCTGGTTAGTGACAGAGCTAAGACCCAAAGATAGAGCTGAGTTCCAGGTCACTGCCGGTGTCTCTACCCTGCAGCTGAGTTTCATCAGTCGGAAGTATGGCTGCCCAGGAGACGGGGCCAGGGGGCCGCTGCACACTGGCTCACGGCCCCCACCCGCTTCATGAGCCAGCACAGCTCTCACTGCTGCTCCTTCCTTTCTACTATGAGCTATTGATCTGAGTAACCTCAATAAATGGCAGCAAGTAGGCTGACGGGAATAAAGACGTGATGAATCAAGAGAGAAAATGCTCAGAAAGGCAGTAATATGTCCTAACCCAGAAACTGCCTTGGAAACAGTTACATGATCTATATGGGTGTATGAAAATACCATGGAACTAGAAGTCAGATGACCTGTGAGACTCTTGCCTCCCTCTTTTGGTTCCTCTTGATGGGACCATCAGACTAAGGCCCAGGCCCCTCTGATTCAGAGCTGGGTCCTGAATGAGGCTCAGGAGAGGAATGCAGTCTCCGTGGGAGGCTGAGGAACCCCTCACCACCCCAGGTTTCCCTCCCTGCAGGGCAGATTTCCGGCTCAATCAGGAGCTGACAGCATGAACCCTTCCGGCAGCCCCGGGAGGTGGGAAGACAGTGGGAAGACACACGGGCTCGCCGAGCCCCATCACTCAGACACGCGCAGGGAAGGGGCAGCTTCTGGCTTCCCCACTGCTTTCTCAAGGGTCTCCCGCCAGGCCTCGGAGGTGAGATCTGGTGGTCCTTTCCCTCGAGGTCAGGCAAGGGGGCGTCACTCTGCCCGTGGGGTGTGTTTCTGCTCTTCCCCCGTAGCTGACGGATTTGGAGACAGCCCTGTACTGCACACGGGTGGAGGACCCGTCCCCTAGAGAGATGATCCACAACTTCCGGCAGGTCCAGAAATTTGATGAGAGGCTGGTGTACGTCTCCTTCCGACATGAAGGTGAGGAGATGCAGTGTGTGGCGAGTGTGGTGCCGAGATGTCTGTTTTGTATGAAATCGGGTGCCTGCTCTTGGGCACTGTCACTGATACCCTTAGGAGATGGGTTAAGAGCACCCTGGCTGCCAAGGGAACCAGATGCGTGAGGAGCTACCGTGTGTGGGTTTACTGAGGTCTCCCTCCACTGACCTTGACTTCCCTGAGCCTTGGTAGAGAAGCGCGAGCCAGACCCTCCAGGCGCGTGGACCGGAACAATCATTAAGTCTGGGAGTCTCCCACAGATGGGGAAGAGAGGATGTTCTGGGGGCCTCTCTGCCCTGAAGAACTACCTACCCCTTCTCCTAAGATACATGACAGGGCCCTTTTCATGAGATCAAACCTTCTAACTTCTTACAGGCTTTCTTGGCATCAAGGCCCATCTTTGGCCTTGCCAGGTGATTCCTGGCACCACCAGCACCACCAAGGTCCAGGGATGCTCCTTTGTAAGGTTTTAGAAAATGGGCATAACCCACATCCGAGCCACAGGCAGCTCATGGTCCAATGTAGCAGGGCCCGTTAGACAAGAAAGTAGCTTCAGAACTGCCTTTTGTCTCATCTCCTTGAAGCTTGCACAGGCATCCGAGATCTATACGGAATGAAGCTTAATAGTTCGGTTTCTTCCTGAGCTATGGAAGCTCAGTTCTTCCTTTTAAATCCGTAACCATAACCTCCCAGATGGACAGTTAACATCTTGACTTGCACGGTATCTACATCAAGACAGCTGGAAGCTGGGGGCCCGGGGAAAGGGGTGAGGGGCCCACACTCTTCAAATCGCTAAGTTCACTTTCTCACATCGCCTGTGGCCAAGCTGGGCCAAGGGTTCATATTTAAGGAGGACCATTAACCCACCTGTCAGAGAATCAGCTCTCCTCGTCTCACATGGGGCACCTTGTTCTGTTGTTGCTCCTTTCGTAGTGTGTGAGATTGTAACTGTCACCTGCTAAGCTTGGTGGACCACAGGAAGATTGGATTTCAAGGCCCTTGCCAGAAAGCTTTAGAAACATGCCCTTCTGCCCTGACCCACACATATGGTCAGAATTACGTCCTTCTCTGTCAGTTACTTAATCAAGAACTGCCCAAGAATTTATCTTTTGTGCTCTCCTCTCCAGATGTCACTAGTTAAGGTCATCTCCCTCTTTCCACCAGTTTCTTGGTCTGCAAACTGAATCTATAAACAATGGCCCCTCCTAAAAATTGAGGGTGTCCATGATGGTAACTATACCAACTCCTTTTCCAGGAAATACCTCAAATGCACAGAATTATCCCCTGGTGTTCCATTCTGGATATAACATTCTCTTTTCCTATTTTTCTAAATGAAGTATATAGTAGTCAAGGGTTAAACGGAAATACTTCAACTCTTAAATAAAATAAAACTCCTCCTGGAGATAAGGGACTCTGCCCACATAGATCAGGTAGAATTTGCCTTGTGATTCAAGGATAATAGTCAGCTCTGTTCTCTGTGCTAAGTCTCTACAAGTCACCAGGGATGGTGTGACAGATACTCCTCAACAGTCAGTAGACCCAGGTTCAAGGCCTCACCTTGTTTCCTCCTGGCTATATGACGCAGGCAAATCATGTCCCTTCTTCGGCCTTGGTTTCCTCAGCCATAAAATGATGGGTTGGACTAGGTGAGTTAACGTCCTTTCGGTGCTAACATGTTCTGATTCTAAGTGGACACTAACAACTGTCCATCCTGACTTTACGTTGCAGGGACAGTGTGTGAGGGCAGTTACAGAGAAACAGAAGAAAGCATGCAGGAACTTGACATCCAAAAGTAACCCCCACGTGTACAATGAACTGTAGCCTCGGGGATAATTAGCCATCTTCTTAGACCAGTTCAGGTCTAAGCTGGCGCCTGTAGAGCAGGCAGTGCAGTCAGGCTGGTAACAGAGCGCTTCAGTAGACCCTCCCAGTCTGGCTGGGGGAGCTTGAGGGGCCTCTAAGCAGAAGCCCCCAGACCGGCTCCAGCTCAGGACGTGGAGATCACAGCCCAAATGCAGCTCTGCCGCTGCCCCTCCAGCATGGCTTACCCAGAGCTGCTGCTTCCAAAGGCTGGGCTGGGCTTTCTCCCTCAAGTAAGAATCCGTGGCAGTCTAAGGCAAACCTGTTCATTTGAAGGCTGATTATAGAAACTTGGCCAGAATTCTCCCTTTCCCCTCATTTCCCAAAGACTCGGGCAGCAAATGGGGCTGTCCCCTAAGAAACAAGGATAAGGCAGCCCCAAAGGAGTGAAGCCCCAAACCTCATCCTCCCAGGGGCGCCTGCAATTCACAAGGGCCTTCTCACACCAACGTGGCGCGGGTCTCAGACTGTAACATGTCCTTTCAGGTTGATGGGGTAAGCTTGTTTGTCAGTGGGAACCTTGAGCAATTTGGACTCAATTGTTTGCAGGCTCTTCCACTGAGGCATGTCTGTAATTAGGGGCTGGTTTAATTCAGGGTCTTCTCTGAAAGTTAACAGGAACTATGGGGTTGGAAAATGAAAACTCTGGAGTTTTCTGCCAGGAAAAAAGTAATGTTAAGGAAATCCTTTATGAAAGAAAGTGCACGGACCTTGAGAGGGGGATCTGAGGTTTAACCAAATTGGAACAACTGGGACTGAATCACTTAACCGGACGCTGTATTTTCTTCAACTGTTTTAGAAAAGGAACACAGAGCTTGGTTTCTGTCCTTAGGAGGTGTAGAGTCTATGACGGCCCTAGGGCAGGGTTTCTCAGCCTTGGCATCAGCACGTCAACGCTGACATGTGGGGCTGGATAATTCTCACTGTGAGGGCTGGCCTTTGCACTGCAGGATGTTTAGCAGTGTCCTTGAACTCTACCCTCTAGATGCCAGCAGCATCCCCACCTTGTGACAGCCAAAACATCTCTAGACATTGTCAAGTGTCTCTGGGGGAGGAGGGGCAAAGTTGCCCCTGATTGAGAACCGCTGCCCTATGGATTGTACAATGACTTTCCTAGGCCCAGAACTTTTTTTCCCACTCCTATCACAGGATTCTAGGGTTTTATTTCACATGCCCTGGTCTTTATTCTATTCTATCCCTGTTTCCCATCTTCCTTTAGGATTTGAGTAGGTACTCTTCTTGGATAATTGGGTAGGGCCAAGGCTAACAGAAGTAGACGAGAGAGAACTATTCACCCTTCAAAGAAGCATACCAATTCCTTCACCAGGGGTCCAGGTGCCTCTGAGGTAGCAACTTTCTTCAGAATGCCCTCATCATTCTGTTCCTTCCCTTTCATATGATTTTTTTTTTTTCTCTCGTGTATGTTGTTTCTTGTTGCCTTTGGTTAAAATGCCCTGTCCTTGTGGAGAGATGAAAGTCACGCCAGGCACTTTTTTTCAGCTCTTAAAAAGTGCCTCTTCCAAGTGGCACAAATGGAAGTCTTGAGCTGAAGAGAGGAAACAAGACTCACGTCCTCCAGGTGGGGTCTTGGAGAGGAGGAACACATCCTGGGAGCAGTCCAGATCTCGTAGCAGTCAGCTGCCCGATGTGAGGAAGGAGAAAGACAGTAGAGGCACATCTATATAGTTCAGGGGCCCGATTCTCGGTTCCCTAAAGTTGACCTCTTCCCAGCCAAAGACACCCACACTGGGTCCAGATGAAAAAGGGTAATAAAGCCCAAATGCCAATGTTATCAAGTTCTATTTTCAACATGTCAGGGCAAGGAAAACTTGAAGGCCAAGAGGAAGCCAAAAAGTTTCTATAATCGTGTCTTCAGTGCGCTTGCTCTGAGCGAGTGCATGTCACATGCCTCAGAGCCTGGAGCCAGCTGAGGCGACACTTAGACAAGGACGCTGGGCAGTCGAGGGGTAGGGCTTTCCCCCTCAGCAGAGCTGTGGAGTAGCCTGATTAGAATCTGCTTGACCCTGAGGGACCTGGGTAGTTTCATAAAATGTTTTAAAAAGAGAGAGAAAAAACCTTACAAAGCTAAGATGCCTAATTATCTAATTTTTTGAGACTAGAATGTATGCTTTGTGGTTATTGACCTTGTCAACTTTCTAAAAGTCCCTATTTATAAATAAACTCTATTAGATGGAAAAAGATTAATTCTTCCAAAGGATCCAAGTGAAAGACCAGAGGAGTACCCCTTAAAATCGCCTACCCTGGATACAGGGTCTGAATAGTCAGGAATGATCGTCAAATGTGCTAAGAAGTGGAGTCCTAGTCACACCTAATGCAGTTCAACACACCGCGTGTTACTGAGCACGCCCCACATTAGCCACTGCGGGGAACAGAAAAGCCCACCAGGGATGTTCTCTTGCTCCCAGCAATAAGCCTCTGGGCCGAACAGCGGGAGAAGGGGTCAGGCGGAAAGCTGATCCTTCCAGCATGTCTCCCCTCCTCCCATCCTGCCCTGCGGGGCCTCCTTCAACATGGCAGGCGCTTTCATGTGTGCACGCTATTGACTTTTGCACACACGAGTCCCTTTGTCTGGGATGCCCCTCACCTCTTCCACCAGGAAAAAATTTCAAGACCCAACTCCAACCATATCCTGCCAAAGTCTTCCCCATGCCCCTGAGGGTGACTTACAGTCTCCTACTTCAGTGCAGCTGAACTTGTTCATCTGTTATAGTTTTTAGCACACCACAGGGTAATTATGTATTACCACGCAGAAAAAAAAAAAAAGAAAAAACATGGCTGTTACCCACACACCACGAGTCCCTTAAAGCAGGGGCTGTGGGCGTCTTACTAGCCTTTTGTGCCTGGCACCGTGCCTGGTGCTCATTACAAGTCTGAAGGAATAGAGCCGACCCGTCTCCCTTCCCCTCTCCCCACCAGTGTCTTCTCTGCAGAACGATCTAAACAGAAGCCTGACTGGTTGTCAAGTTTTAGTTTTATGAAGTTTTATTTTGCTTTGTTATCAATTTGCCAACAGCATTCAAATCAATCTATTTGTTGAGGAAAACGTAAAGATCAGAACATAGCTGTCAAGTGTTAAAGGTCCGGGATGGGATGGGGGTGCTGAGGGAGGCCGTCAGGCCTTCTGTCATCTGGCCTGACAGGGGTAAGAGCCCCGGTCCCACCACCTGTCATTCCTGCAGCACAAACAGCCTGACCCCCAAAGGGAACTGAGAGCATGAAGCACCAGGGCTGCATAATAACCCTCGCCCACCGTTCCAGGGTTTAGGCCCCCTCAGAGCAGCACGGCTCTCTCTTCTGGGCCTGCATTCCTGCAATCTGGAAGGCAAAGCCCTCAGGCCCTAGCACGGTCATAGAAAACCAGTTCCCACATGTAATCTGGCGGCATCTTTTGGGCAGACTTATTTGTAGAAATTATTTCTTCAACAGGGTTCCACAGTGTTAAGAAAAACTCCAGTAAAATATGTCCTCTTAAGGTAGTTACGGTCTGTGGTTACGGAGGGCATCTTCCTTGCTTTTCTTACCAAAGCATCATCCAAAGAGAGGACCAGCATTTCAGTTACTTGAGTCTGTGACTTGTATTAAGCACAGTAACAAGAGTTTTACCATCTGAAACTGGATTTTATATATTTAAACTCTCAAATCCCTGCTAAACCAAAACTCTCCCTGCCTCTTTTATAAGACTGGAGGCTGCTAAAGATATACACCTATATGTATACGTATCTAATCACTGTGGAACATGTCACCTACTAAAACAGTCCATACTTTAAAATAATACACTGAAAGGAAAAGGATTGTATTCCTTTTTTTCAAAACTCTGTTTGAATAAACAGAACTGCAAATCAACCTAGAAAATGCTAGACTTGTTTCAGGAACTGCAAGCTGTGTAAATAAGGTGCTTGTTCCTCCTGCTGGACTTTTCTGGGTGTGCACCTGAGGCTTCAGAAGACCTCAGACGCAGTTAGCCAGCATCCCTCGGGTCCAGCAAGACGCCCGTGGAAGACGCAGCACCTGAGCCAGCCAGACAGGTAGCAGTGCCCCGTGGCGAGCAGCTTGCTCATCTTCTCAGGGGCCTGTACCTTCCCGGGTGAGGCATGTGGTACTGGAGTTCTTCTCTATCTGTGTGATTTCCTTCTGTGCGTCGTACTGCCCACCTTCTGCTGACCCTGACTTGCACCGGAGCCTTGTATGGAGAGCAGGCAGCTCTCCCACGTCTGTGTGGCACGTGCCCTCGTACCTGCCAGCTCAGGGGCCCCGGCGTTGCGTTCTCACCCCGTGCCTCTCATGGGCCGTCTCTGTCAACCAGCGTGTCTCGTTTCTCCTGTCTGGCCCACTGTGCTTCAGTGGGAACTCCCTGTCTCATCTGCCATTCAGAAACCATTTCTGTGTTTAACCTGCAAGTGAATCTTTGCCCCTCCCTGCACCATCTTTGATGCCTGTTCTCTGCAACAGCCCAGAGGCGCTGCGGGGATGCAGGCTTCGGCTTCTCTCTCTGGGCACTAATTCTCTAGTCGCCCCAACAGGTCTCCTGATGCCTTTTGTGACCTCCCCTCTCCCTTTAGTTAGCAGATGCTCTGGCATCTGCCTCCAGTGGGACCCAAGCCCTGCGCTTTATCCAGCTCAGCAGAGGAGCTCTGCTCCTTGATGCTTGGTGCTGTCTCACCTGGCAGGAGATAGCATCCCAACGTCATCTTCCTGCCCTGGGGCTCCTGGCGGGTAGAATTCCCACGAGGTGCCGCCCTCGCTGCCATTCCTCTTCCCAAGGGGCTTATGCTCTTCGCTTGCCCAGTCAAGCTGCTTTGTTTTTTGCTGCATCAAACACTGGTCTGTAAAGCATCTGTTCCAGTCTCTGGGGACTTCCTTGTCTTCATACCTGCTTGGTCTTGTTTCATTGTTTCCAAGGAGAGGCAACTTAGGCCCTAAGAAGTCGTCATCCAGGAGCAAGAAACCCACATTAGAGCCCTGGATTAAATTAGGCTGTTGTTTATAGGGCCTAATACAGCCAAGGACACTGCTCAGTGACACAGGAAAGCCAGACTCTCCCTCCAGATCAGCCACCCAGCTGCGCCACGTGCGCATGAGAAAAGTCTCAAGCCTGGGGCCTTGCTTCCAAGCCTTCACTCCGCCCCCTAAGCCCATGGCCTGAGGGCACCTCCTCCAGCCCCAGAGCGGGGCTGTCAGTTGTCTGGGGGCCTGTGTGGCTCTCAGGATGTTTGAGGTGACTGTGAAAGCGACGACTTTAGAAACCTGGACGGCTTAACCAAGTGGTTAGGCTTACTAGTAATAGTCTTATGTGGCAAGAACTAGTTTAGTACAAGCATCTGGAGCTTTAGGAACACACAAAAAAAAGTGTATTTCATCAAAAAGGCTTGGAAAAGAAATCACGACTAGTTGGGTTTTTCTTCAGTGGTTGTTGTTTTTAAGATCCTAGAGGCCTTGGTTACCTCTAGGTACCTTAAAAAACAAAACAAAACAAAACAAATTATAGTGTGCAGAGGCCACAGGCCATGCAGGGAACAGAACATTTGCTGTACAAACACTTGATGCTTTCCCCAGGGGGAGACTCACGTCCTGAGAATCTCCCCAAGCCACAGACTGGTCCCTGTGTTCAGGGCAGGGAATCGAGCGAGGGGAGCCACGCTCTCTGCCACCTGGGAGGCCGTGGGCTGCCAGTGGTGGCCGGCAACAGCCAAGAGAACAGGCCACCCTGCCCTTTGTGGACGGCTTCTATCCATACCTGCCCTGCTTATCCTTTCAACAGTCTGGGGCCACCCGGGAAGCCAGACCAGGGACAAATAGGGCCCAGCCGTGGACCAGGGAGGCTACTGGCTCAATATTAGACTGTGAAGGAAGACAGTAGGGAAAGAACTTGGGGCTGATGGCCCCAGGGGAATCAGCCAGACTGGGCCCAGATGGCAGGAGAAGGGGCTGAGCAAAACCTCACCCTGCAGTCTCAGGTCTGGTTCCCCAGGGTATCAAGTGCCCCAAAGGGAGGTGGTCCCTGGCCCTCTGCCTGCATCTCACACTTGATCGGGACTCTCCCAGGGTCTCCGTCGCCATGGTGGGCTCTATGGGTACAAGCTCTCCTGAGTGTCTGGCTGGGTGGCCACCATCTGCACAACTCTGGCTTCCAGTGTGAACTGGAACAACCCCCCATCCTCTCCCCCGCACCACAAGCTAGAAGTTTCTACTGAGATCAGAAAACCACCAGACAGGCAGGTGTGTGTAAGCAGAGACTTTCTTTAGATGGAGAATCTGACTGGAAGAATGAGTAGTTCTGAGAACCTGGAAGCAGCTGGGATAACCTGGGGGCTCTGTGACTGGGCTCCTCTGTGTTACTCGAGAGGACAGGCTCACTCAGGGCCCTCTCCAGAGAGGTTCCTAGCAGGCTGACCATGGGATTTCACCTTAGGTCACTGGGCACTATTTCAGCCCCACTGAGGACCCCACTAACTCACCCCATTCATCTCCAACAATAACTTGCTGAAGAAGCCATGCTCCTCTGTCTCCATGTAGCAGGGAAGAGAGGCTGGTATGGTGGAGGGGCTTCTCCAGTTTGTCCACCGGGGCCAAAGCAAAAATAGAACCAAACCATGACAACAGTACTGGACGGGGATGGGTGGACAAGGCTGGTGACAGGTTCCAACCAAGCTCTGCTGGCCCCAGCCAGCTAGAACCTGGCAGCTTCCTTGCTGAGGAAGAGAGGTAGGTGCCAGAGAAGCAGATGACAGCCCACCAAGGTAGACTCTGATTCTTACCCTTCCTCACCTTCCAAGTTGGCCATATTGTATCAAAAACTGAAGTCTTAGGCACACAAAGAGACTGCTGTGATTAAAGGAGCATCAGAGGGAGGGATCACGGTGCGAATTCCCTGGGTGGGCAATTCCCTCTACCCCATCAGGCACCTCAGCCAAGAGTGAACATCCCCAGGAGGGCTGCATCAGCCCGGTACCTCCACCCAAACAAAAGGTAGAGCTTTGCTCAACACACTGGTCAAATATGCCAGGGTTTGACTCGGTTAATTTCCGGTCTTTTCCTCTCCCCTTTGAAGGGCCAGACCCTACCTACACAGGACCGAGTCTGGGTATGTGGCCAACCGGCCGTGCATGCTGCAGCTGGGTGATCACTGTGATTCTCGGTGTGATCTGGGCCTGTGATTCTTCAAGCCCATCCTCTCTGCTTCTCTGTGCTATCACTCTGACTCCTGACCCCCTCCTCACCGTGTGTCTTACCCTCAAGTCACTCTCTGATTCAAAGATGAGCTGCCAATCAAATGCTCCCCTAATGAACGACCTAATCACTTTACAGCACGTGTACATTCAAAAAGCCTATCCAAGACCTTCTGTTTGCCAGGATGGGAAGCCATTGCCTAAAAACTAGGCCTAAGCCCAGTATGGAGGTTGGGTGACCAGCCAGTTAACCTTGGCAATGGGCCCTGGTTGTTTTGGACTGCTTAGCACTGTGTAATGGAACTTGGGGCCAAAGCTGATAAAGAGGCATCTCAAGGGGCCTTAAATCCAGCAAGCAAAAACGGAATAAGTTCTTATTCTGTAGCCCAGGGTTTCTCAAAGTGTGGTTCATGGACCACATACATCAGCAACAGCTAGAGGTGTTTGGTTAAAATGCAGATTCCTGGGCCTAACTCTAGATTGAATCAGAGTCTCTGAGGGTTGGGCTCAAAAAAAGTCTACATTAGACACAAGCTCTTCAGGTGATGCTGGTGCAAGTTTGAGAACCCCTGCTGGAGAATCGCTACAATTTGCAAATGGCCCCCTGTGAGTACTCCAGCCAACCCTGCTAGGCCAAAGACCAGAACCTAAGAACAGAGATGGGGAAATTACACCTTTCTGTGGGTGATTCTGCAGCTGTCACTTGACTGCGCACACATGTGCTACGGGGATGACATGAAGGGGAAGGGAGGATTGTAATGAGTGTGCACTACCCCTCAACAGGCATCGCCCTTTTCGTGGCCCTGGCTGGCGTTCTGGGCATCTGTATTGTCCTGGCAGTATCCATTTGGCTTTTCAGAAGGAAGAAGAGGTGAGCTGATTTGGGCCCAAGATGGGAGTGGGTGGCTTTGTGCCCATGAGGATTGATCTGTTCGGGAAGGCAGCCTGCAGAACAAAGAGCCCTGTCACCTGTACCAACACTTATCCTTGGTTGGTTTGGGAGTGCCATTTCCCAAACACCACTGATCCAGTGAGACACTGGATGCTGGTGGTTCAAGAGTCATTGCGCTCAGAGTTGGAGGTGGGTCTGCCAGCTTTGCTGCCCCTGCTAAGACCTTGGACAAGCCTCTTGATTTGGAAGGGAGGTCCCATTTACCTACACACAAGGACCAAGGCTGTCTTCTTTCTAAGATCTTGACATCCGGTTTTTCTTCCCTGAACCCAGAAGGAAACTGAGGGAAATTGTTTGATTTCTTACTCACGTTGATGCCCTTTGCTTGTGTTTTTATTGTCATGGTTAGTTTTTCCTAAAACCTAATTTATTTTTCCTGCTATGAAAAAAAGAGGTTGTCAGAAACCCTGTAGGAATCAGAGATTTGAAGCAGGGTGGTAATGAGACCTTCATCAAAACGCAGGTCTAAGTATTGTCAAGCGTTAAAAGAGAACAGTTGAACAATGAACAGGTTCCCTTTTGGTTAATGCTTTATTGGGGGGCGTTTCCTCCCAAGACCAACAGAACTGGAGAAAGGTCTCCAAGGGAGGAATCTGACTTGCCTCATTCCATAGCTGAGTTGGGCTGCTCTTGCCTCTCTTTCCACTTTGACTAACAACACTCATGTGTCCTTGCTGTTCCAGCAGCAAAAAAGTTGCCAACAAAGGAGTCATCTACAAACCGGCCGTCAAGCAGGATGCTGAGGCCCATGCCTGAGGCCCTGGCATGCCCAGGCATGTCCAAGGAAGGACCTGGCTTTGGACACAACCTGCTGTGGCTCCCTGGACACTTGAAATACCTGGGGGTTCTCTGGAGTTCCACCCACAAGCACCCCAGACCCTTGGGGGACCCCACCATCCTGATGCCATGCCACCCCCAGTGGGAGCGTGGATGGGGAGAGCTTGCCTAGGAGGTAGGAAATCTGAGCTGTCTGCTTCGTGAGTGTGAGACCATGAAGTGGTCCGGATTCGGGGAGCACAAACCACGTCGCCCGCTGCGGGCTGTTAATGGTTAGAAAACACTCTCATCCAGGGCTTCACTTGAATGTGGTTTCCAGTGTCCTGGGAATTCTGCTTTTTGTCCATGCTTTCAGACCAGAACACGGACTCTCTCTGCACTCAGACTTAGGCTCTGCTCTTGAGACTGTTTCCTTCCTCAGGGAAGGGCTTGTTGTCTGCTTTCCTTCTGCTATGACAAAACCTTTAGTCTGACCTTACAGCTGGGGGGACGGGGGTAACAGGAAGGGTCAAGGTGTCCGAGACAAAAAGAAAACAAGAGATATTCTTTGTAATATAGTAGAGGCATTTTCCAAGTCCTGCCCTTTGTTTGCTTGTTTTTTTCTTTGTCTATTTAACTTCTTTATTGGAGTATAATTGCTTTACAATTGAATCAGACGCACTGAATGGACCTCAGAGAGAGAGAAGACACGTAAGATCTGGAAGAGTCTCACTTTGGAACGAGAACTGGAATCAGAAGTTGCTTGTCAAGCCCTAAGTGTGAGGACAGAATATTAAGCCCGACCCAACCTCCTGTCAGGGGTGTCGTTATGTTTCATACTTTACGGATTTTATAAATAATTGGGCTATTCCTTGAAAATGTGTTGTTGCCTTCTCTCTCCTTGAGGAGACGTGAACTCTGAGATGACCTAAGCTGCTTTTGTGTCTAAAGGAAACAGAAGCAAAATGGTTGAAGGGCTTTGTCTCTCCTGCCCAAATTTTATCTCTACCACCTTTGCGGTCTGTGTCCCTACTGTCAACCTGGAATTGGGACCTACCAACTTCTCTGACTTGGAAGAAGATATCGAGCCATGGCTGAGTTAAAGGATATTTTCAAACTATGAAAGCAGGAAGTTATCTGTGCAGGGGCTGGCAGCATGGTATTCAGGGACCAGAAATAATGGAATGTTACAGAGATCCTTCATGGTCTTCCCTCCAAGTGACAAAGACAGTTTCTGGGATGACGTAACTCCTTTATTCTCCGCCCTCCGACGTAAGAGCCCAGCAGAGACCAGTTAGTTCCATGACTGAGAAGGAGGCCCCCACCACCAACCTCTCCTGGCTGACACCCTGCAGTTCACAGAGAACCTTCTGATTCCCGCTCTCATTTTGACAGCATGAGATGTCCTCCTGAAGCATAGGTTTCTTTAGATCGCCTTTTTCCCTCTCCTCCTCCCTTGACTGAGAAGTCTTCTCTCTTCTCTACTGTCTTAACTTTTTGTAGTGATGGCAAGCCCTATGTCTTTGTAGCTTGTTTGCTAGGCGGAGTTACACGTGGAGACTCGGGGGTGTGTGTGTGTGTGTGTGTGTGTGTGAGCGCGTGCACAAGTGTGCATGAGACCTCTGACCGCACTGGAGCCAGGGGTGGCATCCGGCCTTGCCATTAGCACACCAGCCTGATGCTGATCAAATGACAGCAGCGACAGCCCTCAGGGCTGAGCAGTGGGAATCAGACGATGCTTTCTTGGCCTCGTCCCAAAGTTGCCAATCAGAAACCAATAAAAACCACTCCAGAACTGTGAGGCTGTCTTTCAAAGAGCTCTCTACAGCTTTTAGGGACAGATTTTGTGAGAGCACAGAGAGAGCATCGTACCTGGCACAATGGCTGTTCATAAAAAGGGGGTTATCGGGGAGGTGAAAACAGTGACAGTTTTCCTGCCCTCTCCCTCCTCAGCACAGCCTGGGCTCTTGGCCCTCTTGGCTCAGACGAAACAAAGCCAGGGAGAGGGCTCCTAGGATCAACACTGTCACCCTCCTCGCTACTCCGTGTGGGACTCCTGAGGACCCAGCCCTGCAGCTGGGAAAGCTTTCCTCAGGTTCTCACTCATTCCCTGACACTGGCTGCCTCTACAGGAAAGCGCTGCTGAAGCTTCTCTGCTTCCCACTGACCCCTGGGAGGGCCCAGGTGCTGTGCTGGGCGCATGGTAGGTGAAGGTAACAAAGACGAGGCCCCGGCTGGGGCAGGGACACAGGGAAGGCCCTGGCTTCTTTGCCCCTCACGAAGGGGAGGTCTTCAGTCTCTTTGCTCTATTTTGTTAGTGTCAAATGGTAAAAACCTATACTTAGTTCCTTAATAAACATTCTAGGACTTTGCTGCATTGACTATTAATCCCATTTTAGGTTCCACCTTAAATTCTTTTCCCCTTCACTCAACTCTCTAAATTTTCATTGAAAATATTTGATCTATATTTAGATTTCATAAAAATTTACCTTTGAAAAAGCATATTCACGTACCCAAGTTGCTCCAAACACAAAGTTTTCCAAATAACTGAATTATCAGCTTTTAAATTTATTAAAATAAAATAAAATAAATGGAGTTTCTCAGATTCAGTAGCCACATTCAAAGTACTCAGCACCTACGCGTGGCCAGTGGCCAGTGTAGCCACTGTGCAGATGTGGAACCCTAACCTCCTTTGACATATCCTTTGGAAGGGTTAAACCTAGATGACTTTCACACAAAATAAACCCTAGAAGAAAGCTCTGGAAGGTGAGGATGGGGGACAGGATACAGAGATGGGGGAATCCAGAGAGGGTGGATATGGAGGATGGGAGAAAAGAGGGCATACGGAAAATCAGGCCCAAGGGAGGCAGGCCAGCAGCCCTTAGGCGTGGCTCCCCTTATCCTTGCACCCCTTCCCCTCGCCCCTTCCAGGGGTCCCCAGCCCGCCCTGCCCTGGCCACACACCCTTCAGCCACGCCCTGGGGTCCAGGTGCTCAGCAGCGACCCGGTCTAGGGCGTCCTTGCCTTTGTGGGAGCTCCCGCTGCGGGCATGAGGGTGCCTGGTTAACTTCCGGGGACCTCGCTGCAGGACCCTGGCCAGGTGCCAGGTGCCACCTGCCCCCTGTGCCCCCAACACCCCCCCCCCAATCTCCTCGGAGTCTGAACATTCCTGCGCCGGACAATGCGGTGCGAACACATTCTCTACTGGAACCTGCCATCCTGAAGGGGGCGAACGCCTGAAACCCGAGTCTCTTGACTTGTTAGCTGTGCCCTGTCCCTCACGTTAGAAGGAGTCACCATCCTTCGAGATGTGGGGAGAAGCTCGAGACCCACTTACAGGAGGAAATGAGACCTCCCGGGCCACCTGCCGGGCAGCAGAGGTGCCTCCTGGGCAGCGGGTACCATTTTGGCGTCACCATGCATATCCACATTGGACACGGCGGGCAGGCACGCCTGGCCCTACGTGGTCCTCTCGCTGGGATTCAACTGCCGCAGGGTGTAGGGGAAAGGTGCGAGGCCGAGACAACACTGCAGGGGAGGGTCCCTCTGCCCCACCCATATGCCCTTTCACTATAGAATGGCGGCAGAAACAAGGGCCAAAGTGCTCTGTGGTATGGAATTATTCACCAAAAAAAAATTATTGCAGGTCAGCATATCATCATGACTGCAGGTCAACCGAGGATTCAGTAACGCCTCCCGCTTGTATACCCTTGACTGTTTCGATGCACCTTCACACCTTTATGCGACAACCCAGGGAAAGAGGGAGCACTGCCCCCATATCTTATAAGTGGAAAACGAAACAAGGGCTGGAGCTCTGGGCTGAGCCAAGGCCACACAGCTCCCGCAGTGCTCTGATCTCCAGCGGCAGTGCAGGGTCCGCCCTCCACAGCTCTGGTGCCACGGAAACACCTTCTTGTAATAGAATTTGCCATATGCTTATCATAATCACACCACAACGTCATAAAACCCCACAGGATAAAGGCCCTAAAGGCATTTGTGCCAACAATTTATGGAAAATCAACAACAACCTCCCGCCTCCAATCTGCTTCATAACATTAAACTCTGCCATCTGCTCAGGAAAAGTCTGAGCAAGTTCTGCCAACTACCAGCAGACAAAGGAGTCAGTTTAACTCCTGGGATGTTACCCTCACCTCTAATTCAGCGAACCAAATTCCCAGGGACACGTGCACTTAACTTTCTCTCTTCCTGAAGCTGAACTGGAGACAAGGAATAAATACACAAATATAAACACACACATAAAAATTCCATTTGTATAAAATTCTTAAAAATGCCAACTAAACTACAGTGACAGAAAGCAGATCAGCGGTTGCCTGGGGATGAGGCGGTGGCTGAAGAGATTACAAAGGGGTATGGAAAGTTGTTGAGGTGACGGATATGTACATTATCTTGCTTGTGGTGATGGTTTCTCTACATATGTCAAAACGGCTGAAATTTTATACTTTAAATAGGTGTCATTTATCTTACATTAATTATACCTCAATGAAGAAGAAGACGACACACTGTTGAAGAGGGGGAAGATGGCAGAAGAGTAAGACGCAGAGATCACCTTCCTCCCCACAGATACACCAGAAATACATCTACACGTGGAACAACTCCTACAGAACACCTACTGAACGCTGGCAGAAGACCTCAGACCTCCCAAAAGGCAAGAAACCCCCCACGTACCTGGGTAGGGCAAAAGAAAAAAGAATAAACAGAGACAAAAGAATAGGGACGGGACCTGCACCAATGGGAGGGAGCTGTGAAGGAGGAAAGGTTTCCACACATTAGAAGACCCTTCGCGGGCGGAGACTGTGGGTGACGGAGGGGGGAAGCTTCGGAGCAAAGAGAAGAGTGCAGCAACAGGGGTGCAGCGGGCAAAGCAGAGAGATTTCCGCACAGAGGATCGGTGCCGACCGGCACTCACCAGCCCGAGAGGCTTGTCTGCTCACCCGCCGGGGCGGGCGGGGTGGGGAGCTGAGGCCCGGGCTTCGGTCAGAGCGCAGGGAGACGGCTGGTGGCATGAACACAGCCTGAAGGGGTTAGTGCACCACGGCTAGCCCGGAGGGAGTCCGGGGAAAAGTCTGGACCTGCCGAAGAGGCAAGAGACTTTTTCTTCCCTCTTTGTATCCTGGTGCGTGAGGAGAGGGGATTAAGAGCGCTGCTTAAAGGAGCTCTAGAGACGGGCGCGAGCTGCGGCTAACAGCGCGGACCCCAGAGACAGGCATGAGATGCTAAGGCTGCTGCTGCCGCGACCAAGAAGCCTGTGTGCGAGCACAGGTCACTATCCACACCTCCCTTCCGGGGAGGCTGTGCAGCCCGCCACTGCCAGGGTCCCGGGATCCAGGGACAACTCCCCCGGGAGAACGCACGACGCGCCTCACGCTGGTGCAACGTCACGCCGGCCTCTGCCACCACAGGCTCGCCCCGCACTCTGTGCCCCTCCCTCCCCCTGGCCTGAGTGAGCCAGAGCCCCCGAATCAGCGGCTCCTTTAACCCCGTCCTGTCTGAGCGAAGAACAGACGCCCTCCGGCGACCTACACGCAGAGACTGGGCCAGATCCAAAGCTGAACCCTGGGAGCTGTGCAAACAAAGAA